AATCACAGGCCCGTTCGCGGCAAGTTTATGGGGATGTCTCAGGCGGTTTGCCTGTTTCGGTGCCCAACCTCGTCTGCGATTACAGCAGATTTGGAGGATGTCACAGTCGGGGCGCTGGCTTCAACACTCCTGACGGGAGCCGCCAGAGGGTATATCACGGGCCCGTTCGCGGCCAGTTTGTGGGGATGTCTCAAGCGGTTTGCCTGTTTCGGTGCCCAACATCGTCTGCGATTACATCAGACTTGGAGGATGTCACAAACGGGGCGCTGGTTTCAGCACTCCTAAGGGGAGCCGCCAAGGGGTATATCACGGGCCCGTTCGCGGCCAGTTTGTGGGGATGTCTCAAGCGGTTTGCCTGTTTCGGTGCCCAACATCGTCTGTCAGATTTGGAGGATGTCACAATCGGGGCGCTGGTTTCAGATTTAAGTATACCCAAACGTAGACATACACAGACATACTCATACACAGATTTACTCATACTAAGACTTACTCATACCCGAGAGAGCGTGATCCACCGCCGCTTTACTGTGGAAAATTGCCGCCCTCTTCCTCCGGAACCCGGGGGTCCCCCCCCCTCCGAAAATCCCCCCCCCCCTGCTGGAACCCCTTCCCCCCCCCCCCCCCCCCCCCCTCCCCGGCAAACCCCCCCCCTCCCCTACCCCCCCCTCCCCCCTACCCCTGGAAAACCGGGGGGGTCACTACCGGTTCGAACCCCCCCCCCCTCGAAAACCGGAGGGGGGGTCACTACCGGTTCGAACCCCTCCCCACCCTCCCCCACTCACCGCCAGCAAACGACTCCCGGTCCCTACCACCGTCCGCACCACATCCCCCACTGTTGTTCCCAGCACCACTGTCCTCACCACCACTGTCCCCACTGGTTCCACCACCGTCCCTACTGTCCCCACCAGTGCCCCCACCACTGTCGCACTGTCCCCACTGTCCCCACCACTGTTCCCACCACGGTTCCACTCTCCCCACTTTCTCCACGGCCCCAACCACTGCCCGACTATCCCCACTGTCCCCACTGTCCCACTGACTCCTCCGCTGTCCCACTGAGCTGTCCCACTGTTCCCACCACTGTCCCCACTGTCCGCACCACTGTCCCCACTGTACCTCTGTCCCATTGTCCCACCGCCGTCCTCGCCACCGCCTTCACCACTGTCCCCACCACTGTACCCTCCACTGTCCCACTGTTTCCACCTCATTCCCACTGTCCCCACACCACTGTCCCCACCACCACCGTCCCCACCACTGTCCACTGTCCCCACTGTTCCCACCATTGTCCTCACCGCTGTCCCCACCACTACGGTCCCCACCAGTGTCCCACTGTCCCCACCACTGTCCCGCTGTCCCCTCACCACTGTCCCCATCACCACCGTCCCCACCACTGTCCGCACCCCCCCCTCGGTTTTCGAGGGGGGGGGAGGTTCGAACGGGTAGTGACCCCCCCCGGTTTTCGAGGGGGAGGGGGGGGCGGGGGTGGGGTTCGAACCGGTAGTGACCCCCCCCCCCTTTCATGATGAACTGGGGGAGGGGGGGGGAGGGGTTCGAACCGGTAGTGACCCCCCCCCCGGTTTTCCGGAGGGGAGGGGGGGGGGGAGGGGCTCGAACTGGTAGTGACCCCCCCCCGGTTTTCCGCAAGCAGCGGTAGAACACCCTCTTTCTCATACCCAGACGTACTCATAACTCAGACCTTTTCATAATCTGAGTTGCTCAACGCACGGAGGATTCTGAGGACGTCTCAGGCGGGGCGCTGGCTTCAGCACCCCTAAGGGAAGCCGCCAGGGGGTATATCACGGGCCCGTTCGAAGCCAGTTTGTGGGGTTGTCTCATGCGGTTTGCCTGTTTCGGTGCCCAACATCGTCTGCGCTGGATTTGGTTCCGGCGTAGGTGCAGGCGTCGGTGGCGCGGGCGTGGGCGCAGGTGTTGGTGCAGGCGTGGGCGCTAGCGTAGGTACTGGGTCGGTGCTGGCGTCGGCGCAGGCGTTGGAGCGGGCGTAGGCGCTGGCGTAGGTGCAGGCGTTGGTGCAGGCGTAGGCTCTGGTGATGGTGCTGGCGTCGGCACTGGCCTTGGCGCTGGCGTAGGTGCTGGGGTCGGCGCGGGCGTTGGTGCCAGCGTTGGTGCAGGCGTCAGCGCGGGCATGGGGGCGGGCGTCGGTGCTGGTGTCGGCGCAGGCGTGGGCGCCAGCGTAGGTGCTGGGGTCGATGCCGACGTCGGCGCAGGCGTTGGTGCCAGCTTAGGCGCAAGAGACGGTGCTGGCGTCGGCGCGGGTGTGGGGCCAGCGTTGGTGCAGCGTGGGCGCTAGTGTAGATGCTGGGGTCGGCGCTGGCGTTGGAGCGGGCGTGGGCGCCGGCGTTGGTGTGCTGGCGTAGGCGACGGCGTTGGTGCAGGCGTGGGCGCTAGCGTTGGGGCCGGCGTTGGCGCGGGCGTCGGCGCAGGCGTTGGTACTGGCGTGGGCGCAGGCGTTGGCGCTGGCGTTGGTGCCGGCGTAGGCGCTGGCGTTGGTGCTGGCGTAAGCGCTGGGGTCGGTGCTGGCGTCCGCGCGGGCGTTGGTACTGGCGTGGGCGCGGGCGAGAGCGCGGGCGTAGGCGCTGGCGTAGGTGCAGGCGTTGGTGCAGGCGCGGGCGCTGGCGTTAGCGTGGGCGTAGGCGCTGGCGTAGGCGCAGGCGTTGGTGCAGGCGTGGGCGCTAGCGTTGGTGCCAGCGTATGCGCTGACGTTGGTGCTGGCGTAAGCGCTGGGGTCGGTGCTGGCGTCGGCGCGGGCGTGGGCGCGGGCGACGGCGCAGGAGTGGGCGCGGGCGTCGGTGCTGGCGTAGGCGCCATCGTGAGGACACCCCTGCAGATGTACCGGTAGGTCGAGTAGCCCATGGCGTCTTATGGGCTAGTGTCCGCGAAGTATATCTCCGAGTCCGCGGTACAATAGACGCATGTGAACGCAAAGCCGTTGCCTGAAAAGTCGTACGTCGCAGCAGACTGAAAATTGACTCGGTTCTTGCAGGTCCGAAACACTCTGCACTGCTGGTGAGATCTTCCACGCCAGCCTCGTAGCAAGTCTCTCCCGTTTCCAGAAGCGCGTAGTTCACGACGAAGGTGGTCGTGGCTGTCGCGGTCGGGGCTGTCGCGGTCGTCGTCGAGCTGAGGGTCAGGGAGGTGCTCGTAATCGACATGGAAGTAGCCGTGATTGTGTATGTCCCGATGCGGAAGAACTGGTAGTCGGTAGATCCAACCGTTTGAGCGCCGGCTGCCGGCGAGAAGATCATGGTGGTCGAGGAGCTTTCGAGACACAGCTCACCTTAAAAACCGAAGTCGGGATGTAGTTCGCTTGGGCGGGAAAGATACCGAGATTGGGCGCTGCTGTGTAGAAACAGTACCTGCAACTCTCGACGCCTTGCAAGCCCACATCGTAGCACGTCCGGCCCAATGGCACCAATGTCATTGCGGGAGCCTGTGTCGCAGTCGCCGACAACATGATCGTGGCAGAGGTCGACGTGGTAGAGGTCGGCGTGGCAGAGGTCGACGTGACAGTGGCCGTTGTCGTGGTCGTAGAGGAGCCTGTCGTGGAGAATGAGCCTGGGCGAATGTAGTTCACCTTTGTGGACGTCATCGTGTCGGAGCCGCAGGCCTCGGAGAACAGAACCATTTGTAAGTCAAAGTCGAAGACACAACTGAATTGAAACGAAGCGGCCGATCCGAAATCTATCGCTTGTGTTCCAGTCAGTCCGACGTACTCCATCGCGGAGCCGAAGCACTCCGTGGAGTTCGACGGGTCTGGGAGGCCCACGTCGTAGCAGGTCATGCCTGGATCCAAATAGGAATAGACTTGAATTAGCCGGCAGTCCTCCTCATGCGGCGGCCCTCCCAACGCCACAGCCGTCGCCCCTGGTCATGCAGGCAGGAGCTCGACAGCCGTCGAGGCCCTGCTGTCTGCAATCGCGGAGAGCGTCCTGTTTCGGACGCGACTGTCCGCGACGCCGCGGCTGGCGTCGAGCCCTGGCTGTCTGCCACGCAAACCAGTCCGCGCCACGGCCGCCTCGCCAAATAAGGTAGCAAAGGACCACGTCGTCTCCACCTCCGCGTTGCCATCCTCTGTTGATGCCTTGGTGACGTCCACGCCACCAACGCCACGTGAGAGCATGGCGATGGTGCGCAAAGACAGCTTCACGATCGCCAGGACAAAATGTTGACGCTCATGCTTAACCATGTGCGCCGAGGCTGGCAGCAAACCATCCGTCATATGGTAGTTACGACAGATGTCGATCAGGAAACGACCAAGGATAGTCGAGCTGCTTTGGCTCCCAAGTGCGCAGCAACAGGAACACAGGCTTGAGCCAAAATGGCTACAGAAGTCCCGAGAATGGTGTTCTGGCATGCATCAGGGTCTTCAAACGGTTGTCTCCCAACGAGGCAGGACCCTTAGTGGAAATGATCCGGTTGACGAGGCCTATGTAGAGGGAGTTTGCAGGGTGGGTTATTCAATACCGCTGTTATCAGCATCAGCATCATCAGCAGCAGCACGGTCATTATCATCAGCAGCAGCATCAGCATCATCAGCATCATCAACCTAATAATCATCTTAAACATCACCATCATCATCAGCAGCATCATCATCCTCATCAGCATTATCATCATAATCATCCTCAACAGTATCATCAGAAGCAGGATCAGCATCAGCAGCAGCATCAGCATCAGAATCATTAGCATCATCATCATCATCATCATCATCATCATCATCATCAGCATCATGATCATCAGCAGCATCGTCAGCCTCAGCATCATCATCATCATCATCATCATCATCCTCATCATCATCATCATCATCATCCTCATCATCCTCATCATCCTCATCATCCTCATCATCATCATCATCATCATCATCATCATCATCATCATCATCATCATCATCATCATCATCATCATCATCATCATCATCATCATCATCATCATCCCTCGCCCACTCGGCACCTCCTCCCGCAGCCGCGGCAGGGGGAGGGCGGCCAGTCCATGCGGTGGATGGCCAGCTCCTGCCTCGCAGCGTCCAGCGCCTGGGGCGCGGACCGCGCGGAGGAGGGACACTACTCGACGCGTAGATCCCCCTTATGGGAATCCCACCAGCCCTCTGGGCGTCGGTGGTTTAGAGAGTTCCTCTTCCACCCCTCCTTCCCCTTCGGGGAGGGGTTTACCCTGGACCTGGACCTGGACCTGGACAGGGGGTTCCGCGAGGTGTCGGAGCGTCCAAAACGGCCTCGGCGAGGAAGCCAAAATCAGTGGTTTTACTTTGGTGTTGGCTCCATTTTGGCTCCTGAGGGGGGGAGCCTAATTAAAGCTCCCCTCTTGTTAGATCGATCTTCTCCAAGATGGCCCCAAGAAGCGCCCAGGAGGCCCCAAGAGGTCCCAAGATGGCCCCAAGATGGCCCCAAGAGGCCCCCAAGAGGCGAGGCCCCCAAGAGACCACCAAGAGGCCCCAAGAGACCCCCCAGAAGCACCCAAGCTGCTCCAAGAGGCCTCGGCGAGGAGGCCAAACCATTTATTTTACGAAGGTACTGATTAAGATGACTCCAAGAGCGCCTGGGAGAGCCCAAAATGACATCCAAGATGGCTCAAGATATCCCAAGATGTCTCATACTGGCTTCCTCTGTGCTGTCCACTTCACTGATCGAGGCAATTCCTCTGGGCATCGTTTCTGGATGGGCTGGTGGGGAGTCGCGAAGCGTGAACAATTACTCGACGCGTAGATCCCCCTATGTGCACCGCATTTCCTGGCACGTCCCGCTGTGAGTGTCTGGCTGTGAGTGCCTGGGTGTGAAGGCGAGCCCAAATGGACAACGGATACGACGACGACGACGACGACGAGGACGACGACGACGACGAGGACGACGACGACGACGACGAGGACGACGACGGCGACGACTCACAAACAGGCGGTGAGCAGGTCCCTCCCCTCTCACTCCTTTTCCTCATCGTAGTACCCCTCTCTGCTCTTCCTCCTTCCACCCTTTTCCCTCCTCCGTGGTCCGCCCCCTTCCTTATCCGTCCTCTCTCGACCTCCCTGGCAGCCGTGCTTCGTTTTCCTCCTGCGTCATCCTCGTTCATCCTCGTCCTCCCTCCTCCGTCATTCCCGTTCCTCCTCCTCATCATCCTTCCCTTCCTCCATCCTTTTCCTTATAAATAGCTTCTCCCTGTCGCACCCCGAAGCCAGTGTCGAAGGCGGGCCGGGCGTTTCGCCTGAGACTTCCTCACCATGTATGACCCCGTAGCTGTAAAAATGGCAACAGATTCACAAGAGGAGGGCGGGTCGTTTTCAAAATGTGGTTCTCGCCTTAGCGCCGCGCACATTCATTTCAAACATTTGCACGAATGTCACGGGTTCAGGGCGGGTCGTTTTCAAAATGTGGCTCTTGCCTTAACGCTACGCACATTCATTTCAAACATGTGTAAGAGCTTCACGGATTGAGGGCGGGTCGTTTTCAAAATGTGGTTCTTGCCTTAGCGCCTCGAACATTCGTTTTAAACATTTGCAAGAGCTTCACGGATTAAGGGCGCGTGGTTTTCAAAATGTGCTCTCGCCTTAGCGCCGCGCACATTCCTCTTAAATGTTTGAAAGAGTTTCACGGAGTGAGGGCTGGTCGTTTTCAAAATGTGGCTCTCGCTTTAGCGCCGCGCACATTCGTTTTAAACGTTTGCCAGAATTTCACGGATTGATGACGGATTGATGGCGGATTCGTTGTGAAAGTTCGCAGGAGTTCCACGGATTCCCATGATCAGCGGACCAAAAAAATGCGCTTCAACATTCCACTACTATGAGGTGCAACAGTTACGTTGATTCGCTGTGTTGAAGTCTCAAGCATGGTGTTCTGGCACGGTTCAAGACCGCCAAGACGCAACAGCCAGGTTGATCCGTGGCATTCAAAGCCCGAGAACATTGTTCTGGCATGCTTCAGGGTCTTCAAACGGTTGTCTTCCAACGAGGCAGCGCACTCAGTGGAAATGAACGGTAGTACGGGCCTATGTAGAATGAGCTTGGAAAGAGGTTGTACTCCAACATCGTTGATGGCTCCTGGGTTTCCACTGGTCCTCCTCCTCCTCCTCCACCTCCACCTCCTCCTCCTCCTCCTCCTCCTCCTCCTCCTCCTCCTCCTCCTCCTTGGCAAGTGCCCCCCTTCCTGGCGGCCCCCTCCCCTCTGCGTCTTCCTTCTCCTCCTCGCTGTAGCCGCACCAGTCTCTTCCTCCATCCTCCCTTTTCCCTCCTCTTGCGTCCTCCGAATTGTTCCTCCGTCCTCCCTGATCCTCACTGGGGACCGTCCTTTTGCCCACATCGAAGTGATCATGGGGCCCTGAATGGACAGGAGTCTGAAGTGCAAAGTGAGCGCCTCGCTTGAGACATCCCCACGATCTGGCAGCAAACGGGCAAGTGCCCTACCCCGTGGCATCTCCCATTTGGAGGACTGAAGTCAGCGCCTCGCTCACGACGTCCTCAAAATCTGCTCCATGACGGCCCCCCTTGGGGTGCTGAAACCAGCACCTCGCTCACGACATCCTCACAATCTGCTCTGAACTGGCCATCGCTCGAACGGCCATTCCCTGTTTTTGTTCGGTTTCGTGCGTGTGTTTTTTTTGTGCAGGATGATCCAGGATGCTCCTTAACAATCCCCGCCGAGAAAAAAGTGCACACGTCCGAGCGATGCCAAGTGAAAACACAAAAACGGGTGGGCCAAGAAAGGCACACCGCCGGAGGCATCCCCACAGTCTGGCCGCGAACGGGGCCGAAAAAAATCACCCCGAGCGGATCCCTTTTGGGATGCTGAGACCAGCAAAGCGACTGAGATATCCTCACAATATGCGAGTCTGAGTGCGAATCTGGGTGTGAATGAATCAGAGTATGAGTGAGCCTGAGTGAGGAAGAAGAGAATGCGAATGAGTGTGAGCGCGAGTGAGTCTGAGTATGAGTGAGTCTGAGCATGACAGGCTCTGAGTGCGAGCGAGTCTGAGTATGAGTGAGCCTAGGTGAGGAAGAGGAGGAGTGGGTGGAGAGGGAGGCGAGGTGTGACTCAGAGGCGCCTGAGTAACAACAGGAACCCCATCTTAGGATTTTGGGAATGAACGATGACCACGACCAAGGCTGAACGCAGAAACGTAGGTGCCGATCTTGCTCATCGCCAATTCGGAGATCACCCTCGCGAGTCGGGGACGGCTGGCACGGGCCATAACCATGTCGGCGTCGACAAGATCCGTTGACAGCTGGGTCATGATCATTGGGGAAGGTGCACCCCCCAAACTGTGAGACCAACACCGCCCGACCTGGCGACGGAACGCATCGATTCTGCGCGGAAACGGGACCCGTCGGTACCCAAAGCGCCTCAGGTCCATGTCTTCTTGCTCTTTCTTCTGCCGCTCCCACGCCACAGCTCGAGGGGTCGCCCGTGCGCCACGCCGGAGCCGTCGAATACCCCGAGATAGTACTGGGTGCACGGGCGAGGGCCACGCCACTGACATTCAAGAGCGCGGGCAGCACACCACGCCTCAATCCATGCCTGCGCTTTTCCTAGAAGAAGGGGGCTGGGCGGGGCGGCACTCTGCGCCGCCCCGAAGGCACTTCCAAAGTGCCTTCGGCGCGCGCGACCGTGCGCGGTGCAGTCTGTTTGGCGCCGCTTTTGCGCGGCGCCAGCGTTGAACGGGCAATTTTTGCGGCGGCGACCGCGTTGCCAAGGTGTCCCGCTGCAGGGGTCGTTCGGCCGTCCGCGCCAGGGCGCCGAACCCAGCAAAAGAAAATGCCCTGGTACGCAAACACCAAAGATGGCGTTCTCTCTGCAGCTCCTTCTGGAGGAATCGGGCGGGGCCAGAGGCGCCCCGGGCCCAGGCTGCCCCCAGCCTCCCCGGGGAGCCCCAGGGGATATCCTTCGCGAGGCCCTGAGGGCCCCAGGAGGAGGAGGAGGAGGAGGAGGAGGAGGAGGAGGAGGAGGAGGAGGAGGAGGAGGAGGAGGAGGAGGGGGAGGGGGAGGGGGAGGAGGAGGAGGAGGAGGAGGAGAACGAGGAGGAGGAGGAGGAGGAGGAGGAGGAGAGGAGGAGGAGGAGGAGGGGGAAGGGGGAGGAGGGGGAGGAGGAGATCTCCGAACTGGCCCGGAAAGCTGGGGAAACCCTGGGCCAGGATCACCCTGGCAGCCCCCGACGGAGGCCACTCATGTTCGGCGAGGGCTCCACGACTTCTGCTGCCCCTCGACTCGCGCTGGAGCGTCCACGTCTTGCTGCATACATCCCAGGAGATCTCTGGATGTACCTCGATGTAGAAGGCTTGATCCCCGCAAGCCGATTGAAGAAAAGTCGTCAAGCCTCGATGGACTGACCCCGCCCTAACAAGGGATATGGGATATGTCGACCCCTATCCCAGGCTTCGTGGTGTTTGCGAATGAACCAGAAATTTGGGGCCCAACCCTGGGATATACGATGGGGGGGCGTCCATCCTCGATAGGGGGGGTGTCCGAATAGCCCCCTTGGGGTGTATCCCAGAGCTTCCCCCTTTCTCTGAGCGGCCAAACTTTTCATGCGGAACTCGGCAATAGATCGTTTCCCGAACGGTACGGCCAGAAGGCGCCCGCCACCGGGCATATGCTACAAGATTTCTCGACGCGCGCGCCGCCCCTTCGGGGGCGACGCGCATATAGTATCAGCATGTCTGGGTGGCGCCGACCATACCTCCATGTACCTACCCCCCACCAATCCCGACTTCCACGCCTCTCTACCTCATCCCCTCCTACCTCTGCGACTTCCCCCACACTTCCTGACCCTGCAACCCGCACACCACCATACCGCACTACTCCCATACGTCTCCCATCCTACGTACCTCAGCGCGTACGCCAGACCTCCCTACCCCTCCTACCTCGTTGCATCCCGAACTACCAGACATCAATAAAGGAACAAAAAATCGCTTTAAACATAAACTGCTGACTGTCCGCCCAAATTTCTTGGATCTGCGCTAGACCCCCCTCCCTGGCGCGCGTAGCGAGCCAGGGGCGGCGCCGGAGGCAAAACCAAATCTGCGCGGGGCGCC